TTATTTTTTTATATTTAAAAATTGCGTAAAAATACTATAAATCATGATAATTGACAATATAAAATATGTTTTGAAAAAAATACAAAAAATTCCACTGATTCTTGAAGTGAATCTATCGTAAAAATACTATAAATCATGATAATTGACAATATAAAATATGTTTTGAAAAAAATACAAAAAATTCCACTGATTCTTGAAGTGAATCTATCGTAAAAATACTATAAATCATGATAATTGACAATATAAAATATGTTTTGAAAAAAATACAAAAAATTCCACTGATTCTTGAAGTGAATCTATCGTAAAAATACTATAAATCATGATAATTGACAACATAAAATATTTCAAAAATGTTATATGTGGGTCAAAGAAAGTACAGGTTTGTGATAAAAAAACGTATTCATTTATTCACGCAAACAATCGCTTCAAAAACTCGGTTATTAGCCCCAAAACATACCATTTATATTATTGGGCCCGTGCATCTAGTATATTTATATATGGCTCTCAGCTCACATATTAAAAATCAAGTATACAAGCAAATATAGTAGTGAAAAGCTCATACTGAAAACAACGGAAAAGAGAGCAATAGTAATAACAAATAATATGATAATTGAATTTAAAGAGACAATAAAATCGAAAGATAAGATATTATGAAAGTAATAAAAACAATACTAATAAGGAAACTAAACAACAATTGATTACCTACTAAACTTTCTATCCCAATTCTCGATCTCCAAAACCTTTAGATATAAGGCATGTCCTCGAGATATGTTATGCTCTGTTTAATCACCTCTCACAAATACTTCTTTGAGGCAATTCATAATCTCTAAAAAAATTATCATTTCAAGAATTTCAAAAATTTCCTCTTGGATACATCACCGTCATTAAGTAATATATCATTTGTAATGTATCAGACAACCAAAGAATATATCTGAGAGTCATGAAAAATCTGAGATTTTTGTAATTAAAAAAGCTTCTGAGATAAATATAATTAACCCCAAATATATAAGATTTATGTACTTTATATTTTCATTTATTAAGCCATTTTCTTGAACCGTCATTAAGTTGAGGCTCAAACTGGTTTGAGCCCCAACCATATTCATATCGAGTGCGTACTAACTAAAACTTTTTTTTTTCATAAAGGAGTGTCAATGGTTAAAGAAAGAAAAAAAGTAATTATAATATGAGCCCAAACGTTTTTTTTCATAAAGGGGTGTCAATGGTTAAAGGAAGAAAAAATAATTATAATATGAACCCAACGGGGCTTGAACACATGAGTTTTTGCAATCCCTTAACCACTAAACTAAACATTTTACTTGTATCAAGATGTGTCATATATATATATATTCGACCTCTACCTACAATATAATTTTCTAGGGAAGGGGTGTCAAGGTGGGTCCGCCCCTGAGAGGGATGATGCTTAACTATGTGAATAATTCCCTCTTGTCAATTAATATTCATTGAAAATGATAAAATAATGAATTTCACATGTCTAAATTTTATTTTATTTTAAAATAGGTATAAATTTATCAATTTAATTTTGCTTAGGATTTAAAAAAAAAATCTCTATGATATATTTCACTTAAGAGTTATGTCATAGTTAAAGACAGCAAAGAAAAAAAAAAGTGAATTCAAAATATGCTATTCATAATCGAATTTTATAAATATATAAATTTCAGTTCAAAAAAATTGAAAACTCCATGCATAAATTCTCGATCAAACTTAAATTATTTGACTCTTAAAAAACGAAAAGTGTAACATAAATTAATACAGGGGGAGTATTAAGATTTTTCTTGTAAAAATTAAATAAAAATAAAAACAGCCTACCCTGAAGAGAATCCAGTACTTCTTGATCCGAATATCTGAACCGGTTGTTTGGTGTTCAAGAAATTTTGTTAAGGTAGAAATCGAAACTGAACAGTTTCCAGTGAATGGATAAAAAGGGGAAAATTGAATTTGATTAATTCAACTCCCTCCAGCTCTGTTTTTCAATGTGTTAAATCCCCTGTTTTGAAAAGAAAAAAAAAACGAATCCCCTGTTTTTAGAGCTCAAAAACTCCAGTCCACATTTCAAGATTTAGCCGCCATTTTTCCGTCCTCTTTAATTTTCTGTTTTTACAGTTTTCCTTTGCTCTATATAAACACAAAATCTCCAAGAAATAACTGATCAAATAACTCAAAACAAAAATAAAATGGCTGAAGATTGGGGTGATATTTTCAAAAATCTTCAAATGAGTGCAAATGAACAAGATATTCTCAGAGGTGATTGCGAAAGAGAATTCGTCCATAAACAAATTTTGGCAGAAGAAAATACTGATATTGGAGAAGATAATGAAGATTACATCGAAAATATGCTTAAAGAAGAAGAGAAAATTGCTATTGCTGGACTCACTAACCGACTTCCATTAAGAACTATCAGCCTTCCATGGCTTCTTGAAGCTCGCAATACTGCAATCTACAACATTGTTTACGTAATGAATCGAAAATCAAAAATCGAAAATCCCATTTCATTATTTTCATTTTATTTTACATTTTTTGAAATTTATATATATATATATATATATGCAGATAGGAGGATGTTTTGGAGTCAGAAAAATCACAGTTTACACTGCAATGATTTATGTTGATAGGTTTCTTTCATCAGTGCCAAAAGTAAGTACTTCATTGATGATTAGTACTCCTTCCGTTTCAATTTGTTTCGTCTAACTTTACTTATTTTTTCTTGTAGAAACCATTATTGCCGATTGCGAAGTTATTGGCAATGGCATGTTTATATTTGGCTTGTGAGCAATTTGAGGAATATGAATGTCAAATATCAACATCGAACTATATAGGAAGTATAATGAGTATGAAGTCCAATGTTATTACACAATTTAGATGGATTGTCACTTTTGTTACTCCTATTCAGTTCATCAAATATTTCTTGTCAAGATTCTGCAGAGATCTTTCAAGAAAAATGTACGCCAAATCCATAACTATTGAAATCATCATGAGTACACTTGGAGGTACGTATGAATATGTATTGTTTTCTTTAAATGGTGTCGAAAGAAATGAATATTAGACGTAACTAGATTTTGTAAGTTACATAATTTGTTCAAGTCAACAACATGAGTCGTGAACTATAATTAACTTGTTTAAACTTGGGCGGATTATTAATTTAATAAACAGTTTGTTTATTGAAGCAGATGTGAGATTAATGAGTCTTAGAGCATTTATAGTAGGAGCAGCAGCAACATTATTGGCATCAAGCCCAAATATATTGACACGTGAAATGATAAGGGATGAGATTAATGCCTTGCCTCAAAAATGGCTTATTCCAATTGTGAGTATTACGATGTCCTTTTCACCTTTTTTTAAAAAAAAAAATTATATGTTATAATATTATTATATCCTTTTCAATTATTCACCTTTTTTTTTGTAAATTACATGTGGTAATTATATATGTCATAATATATTAAATGTTGTAATTATATATTAATATGTGTTGGAAATTGATTGTGCAGGATGAGGTGTGCTCTTGCTATGATCGTTTGCTAGAGACCAATAAGCACAGACTTGACATAAGTTGATATTTTGGATTGTAATTAGCTGTTTTATGTAATATTTTGGACACATACAGAAATATTAGGAACATGAATTATGTAATATTTTGGACTATAATGAGAATTCTTCGAAAAGTTTTGTCATCAACCTCTTCCAATTTACTGATAATTCATTTGGACTAATTCATGTTCATCGATTTTGATTATTGTATTATTTGTTGTTATTATTATTGTATGATGTGCAATGTTCTCTAGTTCACATTATTTTGTTATTGTTATTGCTCTTATATTTGTATTTGATTTTTCAAACAGTTTGAAAATGTTTTACTTAAATCGAGAGTCTAATGAAAATAGTTTCTCTATCTCTATGAAATAATAACAAGACTACATATACTTTACCCTCTCCAAAATCTTGCTATAAGATAATTTGGGCATGTTATTATTGTTATTGTTGTATTAAACTAATTTATGTGTACATCAAAGTAATTTTATTCACCAAGCAAAAATAAATTAATTGTTTTAGAAATATTTGTACATGATCCTGATATTGATTATTTTGGGAGTAGTATTGAGCACCGATTTGGGTGAGAGTTCATTTTAACTCAAGCACCATAAACTGTGTAGCCAAGTAGGATAGGATCGTAAGGACTTACGGGCGACTCATCACTACCGCAAGAAGGCTCATTGGATGGATTCATCGTTATAGTTAGCATCCTATACTGTGACAAAGTATATGATGACTCTGACAACGTGGGTGGAACATTGTATCATCACTAGGCTCATATTGGTGGTTGTTGGTTAGAGAGGCTCCCCAACTGAGTAAAGTATATTATTTTTATATTACTTTTATTGCATATTTTATTGTAAAACTTAAATGGTTTTCACTTCAAATTCATTTATTGATTTAGTTGAGTTGCTTTCAATCCTTCAGTCAGTTATTTGTTTTATTCAATCCTATTACATACCCGTACATTCAAGCCACATTCAATGTAGTGATGTCATTCGATCTGCATCATTCATAATGCAGATTTAGGTACTTAAAATCATCAACAAGCATTCCATTGAGATCGCATCATCCGCTCGTCAGATTTTGATGAGACCTTCTTACTTTCAGAAGACTCCAGTTTATTGTTTGGTTTTAGTAATATTTTGAGGTGTCGTGGGTCTTGTCCCATCACCTATCTTTAGACAATTGATACTTCATGGACTGACATAGTTAGAGAGTTTTCAGTACTTTCTCAAATGTTTTTGCTAAACGTTTAACTATTTATATTAAGTATTTTCAAACATTGTTTTAAGTTCTTTAAATGATTTAAATGCTCATCTATTAAAGCTTCTGTGTATTCTATTGAGTCATATGTATCATAATTAGTCAAATCAAGGGTTCGCTCGGGACCACAATAGTTTCCGGTACCGGTCACGTCAAGGTTGTAGACTCAGAGGTGACATCAATCAACTGAGCTATCAAAGTTTCCATCAGAAAAATAAATCAGAATAAAAACACCCTATTCAAAAGAGAATCCAGCATTTCTTGGCCGTAAACATCTTAATTGATTGTTACTATTCAAAAATTCTTGTTTAGGTCGTTCATACCATCCATACATTGTGTTTTGATCTAAGAATTCAATTCTTCTGTGTTTCAATAGTAACATATTCTTCCATTGAGCTAAGGTCCAAAATATGGAAGAAACAAGCGTTTCCACAACTCTGCGTGGGGATATTGAACAACTCGAAAAAGCTCGTAAACGTTCTTGCTTATGGAAAGTAGAAACCGAAGCTAAATAGTTTCAAGAGAATAGATACTCCGAGATAGCCCCCTCCAGCGCTGTTTTTTCAATTGATTAGTACTCCTTCCGTTTCAATTTGTTTCGTTTTACTGTACTTATTTTTTTTGTAGAATCCAAAATTCCCGGTTGCGAAGTTATTGGCAATTGCATGTTTATATTTGGCTTGTGAGCAATTTGAGGAATATGAACGTCTAATAGGAATATCAACATCGAATTATATAAGAGTAATGAGTATGAGATGCAGTGTTATTGCACAATTTGGAGGGCTAATGACTATTGTTAATCCAATTCAGTTCATCAAATATTTCTTCTCAAAATTCTGCAAAGATTTTTCAAGAAAAGAGTATGCTAGAATCATGACTGTTGAAGTCATCATGAGTACACTCGGAGGTAATTTCGTTCGAATCATAATTCAATCTGCCAAATGAATATTTATATTTCATAGTTAGATGCGATTCTCAAAAAATGAGTCGTGAACTATAATTAACCTGTTTAAATTTGGGCGAATTACTTTAATAAACAATTTGTTTATTGAAGCAGATATGAGATTAATGAGTCTGAGACCAGTAATAGTAAGAACAGCAGCAACATTATTGGCATCAAATCCAAATATATTTACACATAAACTGATAAAGAAAGAGATTAATGTCTTGCCTAAAAAATGGCTTATTCCAATTGTGAGTATTATTATATCCTTTCCAATTATTCACTTTTTTCTCGTAAATTAAATGTTGTAATTATATAAGTCATAATATATATATGAATATATTTTATGTTTTTGAAAATTGATTGTGCAGGAAGAGGTGTGTTCTTGCTAAGATAGTTTGCTAGAGACCAACAGTCACAGACTTGACATAAGTTGATATTTTGGACTGTAATTTGCTGTTTTATGTAATATTTTGGACACAAACAGAAATAATATGACATAGTTACTATTTTGGAATGTATATTGTGTAATGCTTTCTAATACAATTCACTATTTTACTCATATTTGTATTTTATTTTTCAAACATTTTGAAAGTCAACTAAAACTTGTTTGAAAGTCAGCTTAATGGAACTCTTTTGCATGGATACAAATTACAATGAATTCACGAGTGCAAAATATTTTAGGAAAAAAAGGTTCGAATTTATCAATCTAATTTTGGTTACAATTTAAAAGTTACTCTCCACTATACTTCAGATAGAGTTACGTTATAGTTAAAGGGCAATGACGGAACTAAAATTTAAGTGAATCCAAAAAAAGTGCTATTAGGATGCAACATTTATCACTTACGGATCGTTTAGTAGCTGGATAAGAAATAAATTATTCATGTTTTAATTTTCGTATAACTTATACAACGTTTGGTAAGTAGATAGAAAATAATTTATTCATGTATAAATTAATATGACATTTGGTTGACCGTTTAGAAATCCACATAACTAATATATGCATAAGTTATGAAGAACTAATACTTACATAAAGTAATACATAAATTCACTTATAACTAATTCTTACGTTACTAATACATTCATAACTTTGCTATATAATCATAAAATCACCAACAAATAACTCAAAAAAAGATATAGAAGAAGAAGAAAAAAAGGCAGAAGATTGGGGTGATATTTTTAGACATCTTCAAAGAATTGGGCTTTTTATTATTTATTTCGTCCTCTTTAATTTTCTGTTTTTACAGTTTTTCTTTGCTCTATATAAACACAAATCGCCAAGAAATAACTGATCAAACAACTCAAAATCAAAAGAAAAATGGAAGAAGATTGGGGTGATATTTTCAGAAATCTTCAAATGAGTGCATATCAACAACCTACTTCCAGACGTATTCAACGATTCGCCGCTAAACAATTTTTTGCAGAAGAAAAAATTGATATTGGAGAAGATAATGAAGATTACGTCGAAAACATGCTTAAAGAAGAAGAGAAAATTGCCATTGCTGGACTCACTAACCGACTTCCATTAAGAACAGCCAGCCTTCCATGGCTTCTTGAAGTTCGCGATATTGCAATCCACCACCTTGTTCACGTAATGAATCGAAAATCGAAAACCCCATTTCATTATTTTCATTATTATTATTTTCATTTATTTGAAAATATGCAGTTAGGAGGACGTTCTGGAGTCAGAAAAATCACAGTTTACGCAGCAATGATTTATGTTGATAGGTTTCTTTCATTAGTGCCAAAAGTAAGTATTTCATTGATTAGTACTCCTTCCGTTTCAATTTGCTTCGTCTAACTTTACTTTTTTATTTTTTTTGTAGAAACCAATAATATTGCCGATTGCGAAGTTACTTGCATTTGCATGTTTATATTTGGCTTTTGAGGAACATGAAGATCAAAGAGGATTATCAGCATCTGTGAACAGTAGGAATTATAGAGAAAGCATAATGAATTTAAAGTCCAGTGTTGTTACACAATTTGGAGGGATACTCCAATTCACTTCATCAAATATTTCTTGTCAAAATTCTGCAAACATCTTTCAAGAAAAGAGTATGCCAGAATCAAGACTGTTGAAGTCATCATGAGTATACTTGGAGGTAACGAGTCATGATTCAATCCGTCAAATGAATATTTGTATTTTGGGTACACTATAGTTCAAGTCAACAAATGAGTGGTGAACTATAATTACTTTAATAAACAATTTGTTTATTGAAGCAGATGTGAGATTAATGAGTCTGAAAGCATTTATAGTAGGAGCAGCAGCAACATTATTGGCATCAAACTCAAATATATTGACACATGAACTGATAAAGAATGAGATTAATGCCTTGCCTCAAAAATGGCTTATTCCAATTGTGAGTATTATTATATCCTTTTCAATTATTCACTTACATGTTGAAATTATATAAGTCATAATATATTAAATGTTGTAATTATTTATATATTAATATGTGTTGGAAATTGATTGTGCAGGATGAGGTGTGCTCTTGTTATGATTGTTTGCTAGAGACCAACAGGCACAGACTTGACATAAGTTGACATTTTAGACTGTGATTAGCTGTTTTATGTAATATTTTGGACACATGCAGAAATATTAGGAACTATTTACTATTTTAGACCTTTTCTATTGATCTTTCATGGACTATAATGATAATTCTTCTAAAAGTTTTTTCATCAAAATCTACCTATTTACTGATAATTCATTTGGACTAATTCATGTTCATCGATTTTGATTATTGTATTATTTGTTGTTGTTATTATTGTATGTTGTGCTCTCTAATTTACATTATTTTCTTATTGTTATTGTTCTTATATTTGTATTTTATTTCTAAAACAGTTTGAAAATGTTTTATTTAAGTTGAGAGTCTATTGAAAATAGTTTTTCTATCTCTATGAAATAAGAATAGAACTGAATACACTTTACCCTTTTCAAACTCTACTATGAGATAATATTGGATATGTTATTATTGTTATTGTTGTATTAAACTAATTTATGTGCATATCGAAGTAACTTTATTCACCAAGTATTATAATTTATTCACCAATCAAAAATAAATTAATTTTATTAAAAAATATTTGTATATGATGTAAATAAATATAATTAAAAATGAGGGATACAGTGAAGTTAAGGTGTGTTAGATGATAAAGATGAATTTTGGAGGGATTCGAGCTAAAAAATTGGAGGTGGAAAATGCCTATCATCTGAGCAACTAAAACTTGTTTGAAAGTCAACTCAGAACTCTTGCATGGATACAATGAACTTCACGTGTGCAAAATATTTTATAAAAAAAAGGTTCAAATTATGGTTACAATTTAAAAATTACTCTCCGCTATACTTCAGTAGAGTTGTCTCATAGTTAAGACCAGTGGCGAAGCTAGAAATTTGCGAAGGGTGCGCAAATTTTCTTGTTAGTTATGTTAAAAGTGTGAAAAATTAAATACAAACTCATAATAGCTAATATTTAACCTCTTTACACTTCATAATTTTGGGCAAAGGGTGTGCACTGGACCACCATTCACCTAAGGTGGCTTCGTCTATGATTAAGGGTGATGACGGGATTAGAAATTCTAACTAGTGAATCCAAAATGTGCTATTAGGATGCAAAATTTACCACTTAGTGGTCGTTTAGTAGTCGGATAAGAAATAAATTATTCATGTATTAATTAATTTTAGTATAACTTATAAAAACATTTGGTAGGTTGATATAAATAAATTATTCATGTGTATAAACTAATATGACGTTTGGTTGACCATTTAAAAACCCGCATATAACTAATATATGCATCCGTTTGTTATATTTACAAAATTCCCTCTAAAACTCTCTTTTTCAATGTGTTACATCCCCTGTTTTAGAGCTCAAAAGCTTCTCTCCCTGTTTCAAGATTTAGCCACCCATTTTTCTGTCTTCTTTAATTTTTCTCAAAAATGGCACAAGATTGGGGTGATATTTTGAGAAGTGTTCAAGGATTCGCCGCTAAACAAATTTTGGCAGAAGAAAAAACTGATATTGGAGAAGATAATGAAGATTACGTCGACAACATGTTTAGAACAGAAGAAACAATTGCAAATGCTGGGCTCACGAACCAACTTTCTTCAAGAACAACCCAACATCCATGGCTTCTTGAAGTTCGCCATACTACAATTCACCACACTGTTCATGTAATTAATCGAAAATCGAAAACCCCATTTCGATTTTTTTTTTTCATTTTTTAAAATTTCTATATATGTGCAGACAGGAGGACCTTTTGGAGTAAAAAAAGTCACAGTTTATACAGCAGTGGTTTATGTTGATAGGTTTCTTTCATCAATGCCAATACAAGTAAGTAATACTCCGTCTGTTTCAATTTGTTCGTCTCATTTCACTTTTTTTTTTTTAAAAAAAACTATTCTTTGTATGTAGAATGAAAGATTCGATGTAGCAAAGTTACTGGGAGTCGCATGCTTATATTTGGCTGTTGAGCAATTGGAAGAAAATGAAGATCAGCCAGATTATGAGAGTTCTACGAAATGTAGTGGAAGAATCATAACGAAGATGAGAAACTGTGTTGTTAAACAATTTAGAAGGATTGTCACTTTTGTTACTCCTATTCAGTTCATCAGATATTTCTTGTCAAGATTCTGCAGAGATCTTTCAAGAACAATGTACGCCAAATCCATAACTGTTGAACTCATCATGAGTATACTTGGAGGTACGTCATCAATAAACGAGTCATAATTCAATCCGTCAAATGAATATGTATCGTTTAAATGGTGTTGAAAGAAATGAATATTAGACGTAACTATGAGTAACGCGTTTAAATTTGGGCAAATTATATAACAAAGAATTTGTTTATTGAAGCAAATGTGAGGTTAATGAGTCTGAGAGCATTTGTAGTAGGAGCAGCAGCAACATTATTAGCATCAAATTCAAATATATTGACACATGAACTGATAAGGGGATGAGATTAATGCATTGCCTCAAAATTGGCTTATTCCACTTGTAAAGTATTATTATATCCTTTTCAATTATTCACTCTTTTTTTTTTATGTAAATGTATCCTAATATGTGTTGGAAATTGATTGTGCAGGATGAGGTGTGTTCTTGCTATAATCGTTTGCTAGAGACCAACACGCACAAACTACAGATAAATTTGAACTGATTTTCACTACCAATTCTGGAAGCAAAGTAAAGGCATGAGGACCAAATTTATAGATATTTTTTCTCAAGAAATATTGTTAGTGTGAATGATATAGACTGTAAGTAGATGATTTCTGTAATATTTTAGACATTAGGAGAAATATTGTTACTCATTCTTCCATAGGCACGTGGTCAGAATCTTAAACTGCTTCTACTGCTTGAGAGCTTCCTAATCGTTCTTCTTGAATCGCTCTAGTACGATGGACCGGGGGGTCTGCCAGAGAAAATGCAACACGATAGAAGAGTTCGCTCTGCCACGTAAGATCCTCGAATCAAAATCAACCACGACTACTTTGATGTTCTATTTTACTACTTTTACGATAAGATGTGTGACCAAGAATATTTTAGTCTTGCAAAGTGGTATTCGTCATAAAGTAATTAGTTTTAATAGCAAAAACTATTTAAATTTACCTTAAATAATATTGACACTAACTCTTAAATTTTGGCGTCTTGACGAACTGTTTGATCTTCAAGAAAAGACCTAACATTTAGGGTGTGTGGGTATGAGAAAATATTTTTAGATTTTCATATTTGTTTGATCAAGTTATTTAAAAAACATTTTCTATAGAAAATTAAGTTGTTTAAAATGAGAAAATGACTTTCCTAATAACGAAATAAAAAAAAAAGTTCCACAAATAACATTTCATATTGATTATATCCTTTTCATCTACCTTGTCGGCCTATCCTCACTATTCATGCTACTGCCTACTATAGTATTTATTTAAATTATATATAGTTACTATTTAAATAATATTTTTTATTTACATACCAAATATAAAATAAATAAATAAAAACCTTACTTATTTTGTTAGAAAATATTTTTCCCACACACCATTAGAAATTAAAGCTTAAATGTTGTAACAACTTTTTTGATGCATCACTTAATCATAAAAGTAAAAGTAATTGTATGTCACATCATATCTAATAATTCATCCTTGTGTACTTCACTTTGACCATACTCCAAAAAGTAGATTATCCTTTCACACCCTACCTTTCTTACACAAAGTGATAACCCGCCCCCCCCCCCTATCCCTCTCCAATAGAGGGGGATGCAGATTGATGATATTGAATTCATCTGAATCTACTATTTTTAATTTTGATTGTCACGTAAATGTTATTATATCGTATTGTTTAAATTTTTTTAGGCAATAATAAAAAGACTCATTTTAGATAAGGACTGATTTGATGTGATTGCGTCGTTACCTTAATAATTTCTTTTCATTTTGTCTTTACTTATTTTATTTTGATTTCCCACCTGGTGTTCGGTACCCGAATTGGAGTCCGACAAATTCAAATTTGCATTGAAAAATCGTACATTGGGTGGTAAAACGCTCTTTGACCGTCTTTACTCCCTCCGTCCCAATTTATGTGGAAGTTTTTGAATTTTGAGATTCAAATAAGTCTATCTTTGATCGTAAATTTTTCATACATCTTTTAAATATTTTGAATTGTTAATTATTGTGACTTATAGTACTTTTTACATTGTTTATAAATATATAAATTTTATTTCAAAAAATTTGAAGATTCCACGTGTAAATTATCGATCAAATTCAAATTGTTTGACTTTCGAAAAATGAAAAATATCACATAAATTATTGAGACAGAGAAAGTAATACTATACATTATGAAATAATATGTAAACTAGAATAAATCTTAGTTTGTCTCTCCCCAACCACCCCATACACACACATACACACCCAACCACCCCCGCATTTCCCCTGTGCTCTCTTGTCAAAGCTCAGTCAACAAGTTTGACTCAAAACCAACTCATCAATTTCACTCATGCTACCACCTTCCTGCATTTCCCAGTTTTTTCTGTTATTTTTCAGTTATTAGTATTATATAAGGGAGAAGAATCAAAGAAAGAGAAACAAACAAAAAAAAAGAAACTAAAAAGATGGAACAACTTCCGGTTTTCCGCATTCTTCCAATTCGGGATGATGAAGAAATGCAACAAGAAAATGGTGGCGATTATGATGGCGATGATGATAACGACGATGACCCTGATGGTGATGACGTGAATTACATACAGATATTAATTGGCCGAGAACTCGCCACCAATCGACTTAACGATCAACAAGTTGAAGGACTTGTCAATGACAATTGGAATCAACAAATTCGAACTCGTGCAATCCGTTACATTCGTAGAGTTAGTAATCAAGAACCCAATTTCTTCATTTTCATAAATTTACAGAGCATGTCAAAAACACTAACTCTGATCATCCTCATTACTCCCCAAACCCCACTTGTGTGATTACGGTTACGCTGAATTTGTCGTTGTTGTTGTGAAAAAAATATTGATTTTTTTTTTCAATTTTGATAGTTAGTAATCAAGAACCCAATTTCTTCATTTTCATAAATTTACAGAGCATGTCAAAAACACTAACTCTGATCATCCTCATTACTCCCCAAACCCCACTTGTGTGATTACGGTTACGCTGAATTTGTCGTTGTTGTTGTGAAAAAAATATTGATTTTTTTTTTCAATTTTGATAGTTAGTAATCAAGAACCCAATTTCTTCATTTTCGTAAATTTACAGAGCATGTCAAAAAAGACCAACTCTGATCGTCCTCCCAGAACCCCACTTGTGGAATTACACTGAATTTGTTGTTGTTGCGAAAAAATGACTGATCTTTCTTTCAATTTCGATACAGACAGGGCGAATATTTCAATTTAGCAGACGAACACTTTACAGATCAGTGATATATCTGGACAGATTTCTTGCCTATCGAGTAATAGCTGTAAGAAAATATTTGATTCCTATGAAAATGGTATTATCTGGACAGATTTCTTGCCTATCGATTCAGTTATTTTCTGAATTATTTTTGTTGAATTTGTAGAATGGACAGCTCTGGGCAGTGAGATTAATAGCAGTGGCTTGTTTATCATTGTCTGCAAAATGAATGACAATATAGATGATGTGCCACCACTATCAGACTATCCAGTAGGAGCTTACAACATTAATGTGAATGCCATAAAGAGAATGGAGATTTTGGTTCTTGTTGATTTCAACTGGAATATGAATTGTGTGACTCCTTTTGATTTCAGAATTTTTTTCGTATCGAGATTCTGCAGAGATGTTACAAGATTAGACATAACTAGAATAACAACTGCTCGAATCATCATGAGTGCTTTAAGAGGTAATTAGTAAAGTACTAGTAATTAATTTCCCCTGTTTTCTGATCATTTGTTAATTAGGAGTAATTAATTGTTGTTAAATTTGTTTAAGCAGATTTGAGGTTAATGAATCATAGACCATCTGTAGTAGCAGCAGCTGCAACATTAGTAGTAGTAAACAGAAATTTCACCATACAAGAATTGGTTATTGAGATAAATGCTTTGCCTATAAATGGATTTCTTCAAATTGTAAGTTTTTTTATGAGTGAGATAAATGCTTTGCCTATTTCTATGGTCTAATGGAGTTTTTGTGTTAATTCAGGTTGATGTGAGTTACTGCTACAATAGAATGCTAGAGCTGAACATTTGAGGATGATGACAAACAATCCTAGCAGCTTTTGATGCAGCACCCGTCTCGGATTCTTCAAATATACACTACTGGCGAATTCGACACAAACCCGATGGCATTTTTGAAAAGTCCGAACAACATTGCCCAGCAGAAGAAATATTAGTGAGATTGTTATTAGCTTCTTTTTGTTAGATAAACAAATAGGGGATTCATTGATTGTTGGTAGATGTTGAACTGATTCATTGTTAGTACTAGTAATATTTTAGTACATGTATGGTTCTTCTCTCTATCTCTCTGTTAATAATACCTCAAGAGAACTTGAAGATCGTTTGGTAGCTGGTCAGGAGAAATACTATACGTGTATTATTAAAGATAAATGAATAAATAACAAATAGTAATTGAAGACTTTAGTTTATTGTTTGGTTTTAGTAATATTTTGAGGTGTCGTGGGTCTTGTCCCATCACCTATCTTTAGACAGTAGATACTTCGTGGACCGACATAGTTAGAGAGTTTTCAGTACTTTCTCAAATGTTTTTGCTAAACGTTTAACTATTTATATTAAGTATTTTCAAACATTGTTTTAAGTTCTTTAAATGATTTCAATGCTCATCTATTAAAGCTTCCGTGTATTCTATTGAGTGATATGTATCATAATTAGTCAAACCAAGGGTTCGCTCGGGATCAACAATAGTTTCCGGTACTGGTCACGTCAAGGTTGTAGACTCGGGGGTGACATCAATCAACTGAGCTATCAAAGTTTCCGTCGAAAAAATAAATCAAAATAAAAAACAGCCTATTCAAAAGAGAATCCAGCATTTCTTGGCCGTAAACACCTTAACTGATTGTTACTATTCAAGAATTCTTGTTTAGGTCGTTCGTACCATCCATACATAGTGTTTTGATCTAAGAATTCAATTCTTCTGTGTTTCAATAGTAACATGTTCTTCCATTGAGCTAAGGTCCAAAATATGGAAGAAACAAGCGTTTCCACAACTCTGCGTGGGGCTATTGAACAACTCGAAAAAGCTCATTCGTTCTTGCTTATGGAAAGTAGAAACCGAAGCTGAATAGTTTCAAGAGAATAGATACTCCGAGATAGCCCCCTCCAGCTCTGTTTTTTCAATTGATTAGTACTCCTTCCGTTTCAATTTGCTTCGTCTTACTGTACTTATTTTTTTTGTAGAATCCAAAATTCCCGGTTGCAAAGTTATTGGCAATTGCATGTTTATATTTGGCTTGTGAGCAATTTGAGGAATATGAATGTCAAATATCAACATCGAACTATATAAGAATAATGAGTATGAGGTGCAGTGTTATTGCACAATTTGGAGGGCTAATGACTATTGTTAATCCAATTCAGTTCATCAAATATTTCTTCTCAAAAATTCTGCAAAGATTTTTTCAAGAAAAGAGTATGCTAGAATCATGACTGTTGAAGTCATCATTAGTGCACTCGCAGGTAATTTTGTTCGAATCATAATTCAATCCGCCAAATGAATATTTATATTTCATAGTTAGATGCGATTCTCAAAAAATGAGTCGTGAACTATAATTAACCTGTTTAAACTTGGGCGAATTACTTTAATAAACAATTTGTTTATTGAACCAGATATGAGATTAATGAGTCTGAGACCAGTAATAGTAAGAACAGCAGCAACATTATTGGCATCAAATCCAAATATATTTACACATAAACTGATAAAGAAAGAGATTAATGTCTTGCCTAAAAAATGGCTTATTCCAATTGTGAGTATTATTATATCCTTTCCAATTATTCACTTTTATCTCGTAAATTAAATGTTGTAATTATATAAGTCATAATATATATATTAATATATTTTATGTTTTTGAAAATTGATTGTGCAGGAAGAGGTGTGTTCTTGCTAAGATAGTTTGCTAGAGACCAACAGTCACAGACTTAACATAAGTTGATATTTTTTACTGTAATTTGCTGTTTTATGTAATATTTTGGACACAAACAGAAATAATATGACATAGTTACTATTTTGGAATGTATATTGTGTAATGCTTTCTAATACAATTCACTATTTTACTCATATTTGTATTTTATTTTTCAAACATTTTGAAAGTCAACTAAAACTTGTTTGAAAGTCAGCTTAATGGAACTCTTTTGCATGGATACACATTACAATGAATTTAACGAGTGCAAAATATTTTAGGAAAAAAAGGTTCGAATTTATCAATCTAATTTTGGTTACAATTTAAAAGTTACTCTCCACTATACTTCAGATAGAGTTACGTTATAGTTAAAGGGCAATGACGGAACTAAAATTTAAGTGAATCCAAAAAAAGTGCTATTAGGATGCAACATTTATCACTTACGGATCGTTTAGTAGCTGGATAAGAAATAAATTATTCATGTTTTAATTTTCGTATAACTTATACAACGTTTGGTAAGTAGATAGAAAATAATTTATTCATGTATAAATTAATATGACATTTGGTTGACCGTTTAGAAATCCACATAACTAATATATGCATAAGTTATGAAGAACTAATACTTACATAAAGTAATACATAAATTCACTTATAACTAATTCTTACGTTACTTATACATTCATAACTTTGCTATATAATCATAAAATCACCAACAAATAACTCAAAAAAAGATATAGAAGAAGAAGAAAAAAAGGCAGAAGATTGGGGTGATATTTTTAGAGATCTTCAAAGAATTGGGCTTTTTATTATTTATTTGTGTTTAAAATATAAGTAAAAATAAATAAATAATTTTAAAAATATTTGTATAAAAAATAAGAGTGAAGTAAAGATAAGTTGTGTTGAACCATGCAGATAATTCGGAGAACCACAAGGCACTTATGCTCTGTTTCTCAATGTGTTAAATCCCCTGTTTTGAAAAGAAAAAAAAAGAATCCCCTGTTGTTAGAGCTCAAAAACTCCAGTCCACATTTCAAGATTTAGCCGCCATTTTTTCGTCCTCTTTAATTTTCTGTTTTTACAGTTTTTCTTTGCTCTATATAAACACAAAATCGCCAAGAAATAACTGATCAAACAACTCAAAATCAAAAGAAAAATGGAAGAAGATTGGGGTGATATTTTCAGAAATCTTCAAATGAGTGCATATCAACAACCTACTTCCAGACGTATTCAACAATTAGCCGCTAAACAATTTTTTGCAGAAGAAAAAATTGATATTGGAGAAGATAATGAAGATTACGTTGAAAACATGCTTAAAGAAGAAGAGAAAATTGCCATTGCTGGACTCACTAACCGACCTCCATTAAGAACAGCCAACCTTCCATGGCTTCTTGAAGCTCGCGATATTGCAATCCACCACCTTGTTCACGTAATGAATCGAAAATCGAAAACCCCATTTCATTATTTTCATTATTATTATTTTCATTTATTTGAAAATATGCAGTTAGGAGGACGTTGTGGAGTCAGAAAAATCACAGTTTACGCAGCAATGATTTATGTTAATAGGTTTCTTTCATTAGTGCCAAAAGTAAGTATTTCATTGATTAGTACTCCTTCCGTTTCAATTTGTTTCGTCTAACTTTACCATCTTCTTTTTTGTAGAAACCAATAATATTGCCGATTGCGAAGTTACTTGCATTTGCATGTTTATATTTGGCTTTTGAGGAACATGAAGATCAAAGAGGATTATCAGCATCTGTGAACAGTAGGAATTATAGAGAAAGCATAATGAATTTAAAGTCCAGTGTTGTTACACAATTTGGAGGGATACTCCAATTCACTTCATCAAATATTTCTTGTCAAAATTCTGCAAACATCTTTCAAGAAAAGAGTATGCCAGAATCAAGACTGTTGAAGTCATCATGAGTATACTTGGAGGTAACGAGTCATGATTCAATCCGTCAAATGAATATTTGTATTTTGGGTACACTATAGTTCAAGTCAACAAATGAGTGGTGAACTATAATTACTTTAATAAACAATTTGTTTATTGAAGCAGATGTGAGATTAATGAGTCTGAAAGCATTTATAGTAGGAGCAGCAGCAACATTATTGGCATCAAACTCAAATATATTGACACATGAACTGATAAAGAATGAGATTAATGCCTTGCCTCAAAAATGGCTTATTCCAATTGTGAGTATTATTATATCCTTTTCAATTATTCACTTACATGTTGAAATTATATAAGTCATAATATATTAAATGTTGTAATTATTTATATATTAATATGTGTTGGAAATTGATTGTGCAGGATGAGGTTGTGCTCTTGTTATGATTGTTTGCTAGAGACCAACAGGCACAGACTTGACATAAGTTGATATTTTAGACTGTGATTAGCTGTTTTATGTAATATTTTGGACACATGCAGAAATATTAGGAACTATTTACTATTTTAGACCTTTTCTATTGATCTTTCATGGACTATAATGAGAATTCTTCTAAAAGTTTTTTCATCAACCTCTTCCTATTTACTGATAATTCATTTGGACTAATTCATGTTCATCGATTTTGATTGTTGTATTATTTGTTGTTATTATTATTGTATGTTGTGCTCTCTAATTTACATTATTTTCTTATTGTTATTGTTCTTATATTTGTATTTTATTTCTAAAACGGGTTTGAAAATGTTTTATTTAAGTTGAAGGTCTATTGAAAATAGTTTCTCTATCTCTATGAAATAAGAATAGGACTGAATACACTTTACCCTTTTCAAACTCTACTATGAGATAATATTGGATATGTTATTATTGTTATTGTTGTATTAAACTAATTTATGTGCATATCGAAGTAACTTTATTCACCAAAGTATTGTAATTTATTCACCAATCAAAAATAAATTAATTTATTTAGAAATATTTGTATATGATCTAAATAAATATAATTAAAAATGAGGGATACAGTGAAGTTAAGGTGTGTTAGATGATAAAGATGAATTTTGGAGGGATTCGAGCTAAAAAATTGGAGGTGGAAAATGCCTATCATCTGAGCAACTCTCTCACATCAACTAAAACTTGTTTGAAACTTGAAAGTCAACTCAGAACTCTTGCATGGATACAATGAATTTCACGTGTGCAAAATATTTTACAAAAAAAAGGTTCAAATTTATCAATCTAATTATGGTTACAATTTAAAAATTACTCTCCGCTATATTTCAGATAGAGTTATCTCATAGTTAAGAGCAGTGGCGAAACTAGAAATTTGTGAAGGGTGCACAAATTTTCTTGTTAGTTATGTTAAAAGTGTGAAAAATTAAATACAAACTCATAATAGCTAATATTTAATCTCTTTACACTTCATAATTTTGGGCAATGGGTGTGCACTGGACCACCCTTCGCCTAAGGTGGCTTCACCCATGATTAAGGGCGATGACGGGATTAGAAATTCTAACTAGTGAATCCAAAAAGTGCTATTAGGATGCAAAATTTACCACTTAGAGGTCGTTTAGTAGTCGGATAAGAAATAAATTATTCATGTATTAATTAATTTTAGTATAACTTATAAAAACATTTGATAGATTGATATAAATAAGTTATTCATGTGTATAAACTAATATGACGTTTGGTTGACCATTTAAAAACCCGCATATAACTAATATACGCATCCGTTTGTTATATTTACAAAATTCCCTCTAAAACTCTGTTTTTCAATGTGTTACATCCCCTGTTTTTAGAGCTCAAAAGCTTATCTCCCTGTTTCAAGATTTAGCCACCCATTTTTCTGTCTTCTTTAATTTTTCTCAAAAATGGCACAAGATTGGGGTGATATTTTGAGAAGTGTTCAAGGATTCGCCGCTAAACAAATTTTGGCAGAAGAAAAAACTGATATTGGAGAAGATAATGAAGATTACGTCGAAAATATGTTTAGAACAGAAGAAACAATTGCAAATGCTGGACTCACCAACCAACTTTCTTCAAGAACAACCCAACATCCATGGCTTCCTGAAGTTCGCCATACTGCAATTCACTACATTGTTCATGTAATTAATCGAAAATCGAAAACCCCATTTCTATTTAAATTTTTTCATTTTTTGAAATTTCTATATATGTGCAGACAGGAGGACCTTTTGGAGTAAAAAAAGTTACAGTTTATACAGCAGTGGTTTATTTTGATAGGTTTCTTTCATCAATGCCAATACAAGTAAGTAATACTCCGTCTGTTTCAATTTGTTCGTCTCATTTCACTTTTTTTTTTTTTTAAATTACTCTTTGTAGCAAAGTTACTGGGAGTCGCATGCTTATATTTGGCTGTTGAGCAATTGGAAGAAAATGAAGATCAGCCAGATTATGAGAGTTCTACGAAATGTAGTGGAAGAATCATAACGAAGATGAGAAACTGTGTTGTTAAACAATTTAGAAGGATTGTCACTTTTGTTACTCCTATTCAGTTCATCAGATATTTCTTGTCAAGATTCTGCAGAGATCTTTCAAGAACAATGTACGCCAAATCCATAACTGTTGAACTCATCATGAGTATACTTGGAGGTACGTCATCAATAAACGAGTCATAATTCAATCCGTCAAATGAATATGTATCGTTTAAATGGTGTTGAAAGAAATGAATATTAGACGTAACTATGAGTAACGCGTTTAAATTTGGGCAAATTATATAACAAAGAATTTGTTTATTGAAGCAGATGTGAGGTTAATGAGTCTGAGAGCATTTGTAGTAGGAGCAGCAGCAACATTATTGGCATCAAATTCAAATATATTGACACATGAACTGATAAGGGATGAGATTAATGCATTGCCTCAAAATTGGCTTATTCCACTTGTAAGTATTATTATATCCTTTTCAATTATTCACTTTTTTTTTTTATGTAAATGTCTTTCTGGATATTAATATGTGTTGGAAATTGATTGTGCAGGATGAGGTGTGTTCTTGCTATAATCGTTTGCTAGAGACCAACACGCACAAACTACAGATAAATTTGAACTGATTTTCACTACCAATTCTGGAAGCAAAGTAAAGGCATGAGGACCAAATTTATAGATATTGTTTCTCAAGAAATATTGTTAGTGTGAATGATATAGACTGTAAGTAGATGATTTCTGCAATATTTTAGACACAAGCAGAAATATTGTTACTCATTCTTCCATAGGCACGTGGTCAGAATCTTAAACTGCTTCTACTGCTTGAGAGCTTCCTAATCGTGCTTCTCGAATCGCTCCAGTACGATGGACAGGGGGCCGGGGGGTCTGCCAGAGAAAATGCAACACGATAGAAGAGTTTACTCCGCCGCGTAAGATCCTCGAATCAAAATCAACCACGACTACTTTGATGTTCTATTTCACTACTTTTACATAAGATGTGTGACCAAGAATATTTTAGTCTTGCAAAGTGGTATTCGTCATAAAGTAATTAGTTTTAATAGCAAAAACTATTGAAATTTACCTTAAATAATATTGACACTAACTCTTAAATTTTGGCGTCTTGACGAACTGTTTGATCTTCAAGAAAAGACCTAACATTTAGGGTGTGTGGGTATGAGAAAATCTTTTTAGATTTTCATATTTGTTTGATCAAGATATTTAACAAAACATTTTATATAGAAAATTAAGTTGTTTAAAATGAGAAAATGACTTTCCTAATAACGAAATAAAAAAAAAAAGTTCCACAAATGACATTTCATATTGATTATATCCTTTTCATCTACCTTGTCGGCCTATCCTCACTACTCATGCTACTGCCTATTATAGTATTTATTTAAATTATATATAGATACTATTCAAATAATATTTTTTATTTACATACCAAATATAAAATAAATAAATAAAAACCTTACTTATTTTGTTAGAAAATATTTTTCCCACACACCATTAGAAATTAAAGCTTAAATGATGTAACAACTTTTTTGATGCATCACTTAATCATAAAAGTAAAAGTAATTGTATGTCACATCATATCTAATAATTCATCCTTGTGTACTTCACTTTGACCATACTCCAAAAAGTAGATTATCCTTTCACACCCTACCTTTCTTACACAAAGTGACAACCCACCCCCCCCCCTATCCCTCTCCAATCAGAGGGGGATGCAGATTGATGATATTGAATTCATCTCAATCTACTATTTTTAATTTTGATTGTTACGTAAATGTTATTATATCGTATTGTTTAAATTTTTTTTAGGCAATAATAAAAAGACTCATTTTAGATAAGGACTGATTTGATGTAATTGCGTCGTTACCTTAATAATTTCTTTTCATTTTGTCTTTATTTATTTTATTTTGATTTCTCACCTGGTGTTCGGTACCCGCATTGGAGTCCGACTAAATTCGAGTTTGCATCGAAAAATAGCACATTGGGTGGTAAAGTGCTATTTGACCGTCTTTACTTATTATTTGATAATCTTATTTTATCATTCTCTATATTTTCATAGTAGCTCTACCCCGTAATATACTTATGGAGAAACATAGATAGGGAAACAATATACTCCCTCCGTCCCAATTTATGTGAAAGTTTTTGAATTTCGAGATTCAAACAAGTCTATATTTGACCGTAAATTTTTCATACATCTTTTAAATATTTTGAATTGTCAATTATTGTGACTTATAGTACTTTTTACATTGTTTATAAATATATAAATTTCATTTCAAAAAATTTAAAGATTCCATATGTAATTGTCTGTCAAATTTAAACTGTTTGACTCTGAAAAAATGAAAAATATCACATAAATTGAGATAGAGAGAATAATACTATACATTATGAAACAATATGTAAACGAGAATAAATCTTAGTTTGTCTCTCCCAAACCACCCCATACACACACACACACACCCACCCAGCCATTTTCTTTGTGTTCTCTTGTCAAAACTGAGTCAACAAGTTTGACTCAAAACCAACTCATCAATTTCACTCATGCCGCCACCTTCACTGCATTTCCCAGTTTTTTCTGTTATATAAGGGAGAAGAATCAAAGAAAGAGAAACAAACAAAAAAAAAGAACTAAAAGATGGAACAACTTCCGGTTTTCCGCATTCTTCCAATTCGGGATGATGAAGATGATGAAGAAATGCTACAAGAAAATGGTGGCGATTATGATGGCGATGATGATAACGACGATGACCCTGATGGTGATGACGTGAATTACATACAGATATTAATTGGCCGAGAACTCGCCACCAATCGACTTAACGATCAACAAGTTGAAGGACTTGTCAATGACAATTGGAATCAACAAATTCGAACTCGTGCAATCCGTTACATTCGTAGAGTAAGTAATCAAGAACCCAATTTCTTCATTTTCATAAATTTACAGAGCATGTCAAAAACACTAACTCTGATCATCCTCATTACTCCCCAAACCCCACTTGTGTGATTACGGTTACGCTGAATTTGTCGTTGTTGTTGTGAAAAAAATATTGATTTTTTTTTCAATTTTGATAGTTAGTAATCAAGAACCCAATTTCTTCATTTTCATAAATTTACAGAGCATGTCAAAAACACTAACTCTGATCATCCTCATTACTCCCCAAACCCCACTTGTGTGATTACGATTACGCTGAATTTGTCGTTGTTGTTGTGAAAAAAATATTGATTTTTTTTTTCAATTTTGATAGTTAGTAATCAAGAACCCAATTTCTTCATTTTCATAAATTTACAGAGCATGTCAAAAACACTAACTCTGATCATCCTCATTACTCCCCAAACCCCACTTGTGTGATTACGATTACGCTGAATTTGTCGTTGTTGTTGTGAAAAAAATATTGATTTTTTTTTTCAATTTTGATAGTTAGTAATCAAGAACCCAATTTCTTCATTTTCGTAAATTTACAGAGCATGTCAAAAGAGACCAACTCTGATCATCCTCCCTAAACCCCACTTGTGGAATTACGCTGAATTTGTTGTTGTTATGAAAAAATGACTGATCTTTCTTTCATTTTCGATACAGGCAGGGCGAATATTTCAATTTAGCAGACGAACACTTTACAGATCAGTGATATATCTGGACAGATTTCTTGCCTATCGAGTAATAGCTGTAAGAAAATATTTGATTCCTATGAAAATGGTATTATCTGGACAGATTTCTTGCCTATCGAGTAATAGCTGTAAGAAAATATTTGATTCCTATGAAAATGGTATTATCTGGACAGATTTCTTGCCTATCGAGTAATAGCTGTAAGAAAATATTTGATTCCTATGAAAATGGTATTATCTGGACAGATTTCTTGCCTATCGAGTAATAGCTGTAAGAAAATATTTGATTCCTATGAAAATGGTATTATCTGGACAGATTTCTTGCCTATCGAGTAATAGCTGTAAGAAAATATTTGATTCCTATGAAAATGGTATTATCTGGACAGATTTCTTGCCTATCGAGTAATAGCTGTAAGAAAATATTTGATTCCTATGAAAATGGTATTATCTGGACAGATTTCTTGCCTATCGAGTAATAGCTGTAAGAAAATATTTGATTCCTATGAAAATGGTATTATCTGGACAGATTTCTTGCCTATCGATTCAGTTATTTTCTGAATTATTTTTGTTGAATTTGTAGAATGGACAGCTCTGGGCAGTGAGATTAATAGCAGTGGCTTGTTTATCATTGTCTGCAAAAATGAATGACAATATAGATGATGTGCCACCACTATCAGACTATCCAGTGGGAGCTTACAACATTAGTGTGAATGCCATACAGAGAATGGAGATTTTGGTTCTTGTTGATTTCAACTGGAATATGAATTGTGTGACTCCTTTTGATTTCAGAATTTTTTTCGTATCGAGATTCTGCAGAGATGTTACAAGATTAGACATAACTAGAATAACAACTGCTCGAATCATCATGAGTGCTTTAAGAGGTAATTAGTAAAGTACTAGTAATTAATTTCCCCTGTTTTCTGATCATTTGTTAATTAGGAGTAATTAATTGTTGTTAAATTTGTTTAAGCAGATTTGAGGTTAATGAATCATAGACCATCTGTAGTAGCAGCAGCTGCAACATTAGTAGCAGTAAACAGAAATTTCACCATACAAGAATTGGTTATTGAGATAAATGTTTTGCCTATAAATGGATTTCTTCAAATTGTAAGTTTTTTTTTATGATTGAGATAAATGCTTAGCCTATTTCTATAGTCTAATGGAGTTTTTTGTGTTAATTCAGGCTGATGTGAGTTACTGCTACAATAGAATGCTAGAGTTGAACATTTGAGGATGATGACAAACAATCCCAAGCAGCTTTTTGATGCCGCACCCGTCTCGGATTCTTCAAATATACACTATTTTGGCGAATTCGACACAAACCCGTTGGCATTTTTGAAAAGTCCGAGCAACATTGCCCAGCAGAAGAAATATTAGTGAGATTGTAATTAGCTTCTTTTTGTTAGATAAACAAATAGAGGATTCATTGATTGTTGGTAGATGCTGAACTGATTCATTGTTAGTACTAGTAATATTTTAGTACATGTATGGTTCTTCTCTCTATCTCTCTGTTAATAATACCTCAAGAGAACTTGAAGGTCGTTTGGTAGCTGGTCAGGAGAAAATACTATACGTGTATTATTAAAGATAAATGAATAAATAACAAATAGTAATTGATATTAACTCATAATTTTAAAAATATAATAAATGAAACGCTGAAAAATTGAAGGATTGTATCAAGAAAATTAATGTTTAATTCGCCTCTTCCCCCAATCCTCACCTCCACACACATAAACACCTTGTTATGATGGTTATTATTAGTTGTATTGTATTGTTAGTTTAGATACAATGCTTATTTTGATTATTAATTAAGTTTAAATTCATTATTAGATAACGAAGAAAAGATTCATTTTAGGTAACGATCGATTTGGTGTGATCGTGTCATTACCTTAATATTTTCTTCTCATTTTGTCTTTACTTATTTTTTTTGGTTTTCCACTTGTGTCCGATACCCATATTTGAGCCCGACTAAATTCATATTTGCGTCCGTAAGCTCCACATTGGATGGTAAAGCGCTCCCTAACCTGTACTTATTATTTGATAATATTATTTTATCATTTACCCTGTATTTTCATAGTAGCTCTACCCCGTAATCTACTTATCTTGTACGTTTATCATTCAAATTATGTATATGTGACATTATGTAAGGACGAGAATGATACAATCTATCCGAACAATTTATTCATTAAAACAATAAAATATAATACAATACGATACAACTCATGCAACCACCTTCCGGCACTTCCCAGTTTTTTCCTGTTATTTTTCAGTTATTAGTATTATATAAACGGTTATTCACACACGTATTAATATCACACGAATTAGTACAAAATTAAAAGGGACAGCAATCAAAGAAGAAAAAAAAAGCTAAAAAGATGGAAAGTCCGGTTCTCTACTGTTCTGAACATCTGTCTAAAGAAGATGATGAAGAAATGCAACAAGAAAATGGCGGCGATGGTGATGACGATGATGATACTGATGACGATGACGTTGATGACCCTGATGATAATGATGACCATGATGATAATGACATGAATTACATACGGATATTGATCAGCCGAGAAATCACCGATGTTCGACTTAATAATCAAGAAGTTGAAGTACTTGTCAATGACAATTGGAATCAAGAAATTCGAACTCATGCAATCCGTTACATTCGCAGAGTAAGTAATCAAGAACTCAATTCACTTCATTTTCATAAAATTTACAGAGCATGTAAAAAAACACCAACTCTGGTCATTCTCCCCGAACCCCACTTGTGTTATTACACTGAATTTGTTGTTGTTATGAAAAAAAGACTGATCTTTTTTTTCAATTTTGATACAGACAGCGCCACAATTTCGATTGAGAAGACGAACAATTTACAGAGCAGTGATGTATGTTGACAGATTTCTTGCTCATCGAATAATAGATGTAAGAAAAAAATCGATTATTATATTTTCATTTGATTCGGTTATTTTCTGATATTTTTTTTTGTTGTTGAATTTGTAGAATGGACAGTTCTGGGCAGTGAGGTTATTAACAGTGACTTGTTTATCATTATCTGCAAAAATGAATGAAAACATTGATGATGTGCCACCATTATCAGACTATCCAGTAGGAGCTTACAACATTAATGTGAATGCCATAAGGAGAATGGAGATTTTGGTTCTTATTGAATTCAATTGGGATATGAATTGTGTTACTCCTTTTGATTTTAGAAATTTTTTCATATCAAGATTCTGCAGAGATGTTACAAGAATAGACATAACTAGAATGAATACTGTTGTAATCATCATGAGTGTTTTAAGAGGTAATTAGTACTACTAATTAATATACCCTGTTTTCTGATCATTTGTTAATAAGGAGTAATTAATTGTTTTTTTAATTTGTTTAAGCAGATTTGAGGATAATGAATCATAGACCATCTGTAATAGCAGCTGCTGCAACATTATTAGCAGTACACGGAAATGTCACTATAGATGAATTGGTGATTGAGATAAATGCTTTGCCTATAAATGGATTTCTTCAAATTGTAAGTCTCTTATGATTATTTTTTTTTGTATTTTTAAATTAATTTTTTTTTAATTGTAGCTCTATAGTCTGATGGAATTAATTTCTGTGTTAATTCAGGATGATGTAAGTGACTGCTACAGAAGATTGCAAGAACTGGACATTTGAGGATGATAATTGACAAACAACCCCAGCAATAGAAACATTAGTGTTGATGAATTTTTGGGCAAGAACTTTCTCAGTATTTCATGAGATTGTAATATTCATTGATTGTTGGTATATGTTGAACTGATTCATTGTTAGTACTAGTAATATTTTAGTACATGTGTGGTTCTTCTCTCTATCTCTCTGTTGATAATAATACCTTAAAAGAACTTCTTAAAGGTCGTTTGGTAGCTGGTCAGGAGAAATACTATACGTGTATTATAAACAAAGTCTGCATTACAATGCATACATAACTCGTTTCAGAATCAAACAAGCTCTTACGTAGTTCGCCATATGGTGCTTGCTAGTTGCTATAGTCACCACTCAGACTTCAGACAGAGATGTAGATTGGAGGAACCACTGTTAAATAAAATCGCTACGATAATGAGAAGGAAGCAACGTAACTGCAAGAGAACACAAAGATTATACCTTCATGTAAACTTGCAGTAATCTATCTGTGTTTTTAATTCATTTTGCATGCGTCAAATAACAGCAACAAGATGTGAATCAACTAAAAAAATCATAAAATATGCTTTATTAATGCATTAGGAAGAGTGAAAGATTATATGTTGAAAAGGCAAACTGGTAAATTACCTGACAGAACACAAAAGAGTTGAAAAGATCCATTTTAGGTGATGATCAATTTCGTGTGATCGTGTCGTTACCTTAATGTTCTTTCTCATTTTGTTTGTACTTATTTATTTATTTTGTTTCCCACCCGGTGTCCGATACCCATATTTGATCCCGACTAAATTCATATTTGCGTCCGGAAGCTCCACATTGGATGGTAAAGCGCTCCCTAACTGTCTTTACTTATTATTTGATATCTTATTTTATCATTTACATCCTTGCATTCTCATAGTAACTCTACCCCCTAATCTACTTTTCTTGTACGTTTATTATTCAAAATTATGGATGTGTGACATTATGTAAATAATGACACAATCTATCCTGAACACTATATTCATTAAAACAATAAAATATAATAGATACCATACAATACTATACTATACTATACATTACGAAACAATAGGTAACACTCATGCCACCACCTTCCGGCATTTCCCAGTTTTTTTCTGTTATTTTTCCGTTATCAGTATTATATAAACGGTTATTCACACACGTATTAATATCACACGAATTAGTACAAAAATCATAAGGGAGAGCAATCAAAGAAAGAGAACCAGAAAAAGAAACAAAAAACTAAAAAGATGGAAAGTTCGGTTCTGTACTGTGCTGAAGATGATGATGAAGAAATGCAACAAGAAAATGGCGGCGATGGTGATGAGTGATGACGACGACCACAACAATAATGATGATGATACTGACGACAATGATGACGATGATGATGATGATGACGACGATGATGATAATGACATACGGATATTGATCGGCCGAGAAATCACAGCCGTTCGACTTAATGATCAAGAAGTTGAAGTACTTGTCAATGACAATTGGAATCAAGAAATTTGAACTCATGCAATCCGTTACATTCGTAGAGTTAGTAATCAAGAACCCAATTCACTTCATTTTCATAAATTTACAGAGCATGTCCAAAAACACCAACTCTGGTCATTCTCCCCTGAATTTGTTGTTGTTATGAAAAGAAGACTGATCTGTTTTTCAATTTTGATACAGACAGGGCGACAATTTCGAATGAGCAGACGAACAATTTACAGAGCAGTGATGTATCTGGACAGATTTCTTGCCCACCGAATATTAGATGTAAGAAAAAAATTGATTCCTCTGAAAATGGTATTATATTTTCATTTGATTCGGTTATTTTCTGATATTTTTTTTGTTGTTGAATTTGTAGAATGGACGGTTCTGGGCAGTGAGGTTATTAGCAGTGGCTTGTTTATTATTGTCTGCAAGAATGGATGAAAGGGAATATGATGTGCCATTATCAGACTATCCAGTTGGAGCTTACAACATCAATGTGAATGACACAAGGAGAATGGAGATTTTGGTTCTTATTGAATTCAATTGGGATATGAATTGTGTTACTCCTTTTGATTTTAGAAATTTTTTCATATCAAGATTCTGCAGAGATGTTGCAAGAATAGACATAACTAGAATGACATCTGGTGTAATCATCATGAGTTTATTAAGAGGTAATTAGTACTAATTAATATAATTTCAGAATTTTTTTCGTATCAAGATTCTGCAGAGATGTTACAAGATTAGACATAACTAGAATAACAACTGCTCGAATCATCATGAGTGCTTTAAGAGGTAATTAGTAAAGTACTAGTAATTAATTTCCCCTGTTTTCTGATCATTTGTTAATTAGGAGTAATTAATTGTTGTTAAATTTGTTTAAGCAGATATGAGGTTAATGAATCATAGACCATCTGTAATAGCAGCAGCTGCAACATTAGTAGCAGTAAACAGAGATTTCACCATAAAAGAATTGGTGATTGAGATAAATGTTTTGCCTATAAATGGATTTCTTCAAATTGCAAGTCTTTCATGATTTTATTGTATTTTTAAATTCATTTTTTTTTAGAGTCTGATGGAATTTCTGTGTTAATTCAGGCTGGTGTGAGTTACTGCTACAATAGAATGCTGGAGCTGAACATTTGAGGATGATGACATAACAACCCAAGCAAAAGAAATACTAGTGTTGATGAATTTTTGGGCAAGAACTTTCTCAGTATTCATGAGATTGTAATTAGCTTATTTTTGTTAGATAAGCAAATAGGTGATTCATTGATTGTTGGTATCTGTTGAACTGATTCATTGTTAGTACTAGTAATATTTTTGGACATGTGTGCTTCTACTCTCTCTGTGTTCATAATACCTCCAGAGAACTTGAAGGTCATTTGGTAGCTGGTCAGGAGAAATACTATACGTATATTATAAAAGATAACTGATAAACAAAACCCTATTTCTTTTGTTGTAGAAGCAGCATAAACAAAATCTACATTACAAATTCATACATAACTCGTTTCAAAATCAAACAAGCTCTTACATAGTTGGCCATATGGTCTTGCTGCCATAAGTCACCATTCAGACTTCAGACAGATGTAGATTGGAGGAACACCACTGTAATGAAATCGTTGCAATAATGACAAGGTAGTAATTTGACTGAAAGAACTAGTAATGGCTGAAGTAAGTTAATGGAGAACAAACAAAAAGAGAAAATGGAATATGATTGTTCCCAAAATATTGATACGATGATGCAATGAAACAAAACCAACCAGCATCATACCATATCAAGGTGTAATTACAACCATGGCATGTTCAGAAATACTTCACAAGTCATTGATCAAGAATTTCAGTTTCCCTCAAGGTGTACTTAAGGAGAACCAAGCAGTTCAGTATCTTCAGATCGGTCTTCCAAACGTTATAAGAAGCTGTTGGAAATTGATCAAATTGACAAACTCTTGCTGCGCATTTATGTCAAGATCTCCAACCTTCAAGACTGAGCTTTGACACTTATGATTGATCGCTGCAAACATTTGAGTCGATGCCCTTGAGTGAAGTTCAAGCCAGTTGTAACTTTTACTAGTTTCCTCCAAGTTGAGTTCAGCTTGATCCTACTGGGATCATCTTGATGGCAGCAGCAATCGGCATCCCCAGGAATCCGATTGCAACACTTGTAAACCACTGATGGAATGTAAGGGGAGAAGTGCTTGCAAAGGTACCGAGGAATTCAACAATAATGATTTGGAAAAGAGCTGTAGAGCTGAGGACGGTAACAAAAACATAGTTGTCCAATATACCTTTGAAGACATTTATCTTTTCCATATCTCTAGAGCTAATCTCATTGAAAACCTGCAAGAGAACACAAAGATTACACTTAGGTATTACTAGTGGATTTAGTAAAGTACTATAAATAGCAGAAGTTCGACCCGGCGTTTTCAACTTCCTCGGTTGATTTAAATGTGGCAGTGACATGTTTTTCTTTTCCATTGTGGAAACAAAATGACAATACTGAGAAAGCTTCATGTAAACTTGCAGTAATCTATCTGTGTTTTTAACTCATTTTACATATATCAAATAACAGCAACAAGATGTGAATCAACTAAAAAAATCATAAAATATGCTTTAATGCATTTGGAAGAGTGAAAGATTATATGTTGAAAAGGTAAACTGGTAAATTACCTGACAGAACACAAAAGAGTTGAAAATGACTGTGTTCAAAATCAAGTCAGCATCTGATCCATCAAGATGAAAGAGAGCTTTGCCAGTAGTTTGAAGATACCATATGACTACAAATTGGTAAAAAGATTGTCCCAAAATGTTCCTCCACATAACATTGCTAATGAAGTTCCCCTTCCTTCCTACAGGCGTTCGCTTCATCAAGTCATCATTAGGAGGTTCAGTAGCTAGTGCAAGAGCTCCCAGTGTGTCCATGATCATGTTGACCCATAGAAGCTGAACAGCAGTAAGTGGAGCACTCCCTGAAAATGTATAGAAGAACATCTCAAAATTACAGCTTCCGGGGAAAATGTGTTCAAAGTAGTAAAAAGTAATTCTTAGGTCAAGATACGCTACCTGTCAAACAGGCTGAAGAAAAGTTGACAATCAAGGCAACCACATTTACGGTCAGCTGAAATTGAACAAACTTTTGAATATTCACATAGACTGAGCGTCCCCATTTGGCCACAGTCACAATTGTTGAGAAATTATCATCTAAAATTATAACGTCTGCGCTCTCTTTAGCTACCTGGAACCAAAAACCAAACATGATGAATCCAGGAAAACAAATAAACATCAAGTAACCATATAAAATCTTTGTGTCCTACTACACAAAGCAAGGTGACAAAAAAATCACTTTCACTTCGAAGTCCAAATTGTGAATGGAATACTAGGTATGGGCACTACTAATCTTAGAGAGGAAAATGGGAGGTTCAAACAAGTTGATGAATGAAAATTTTCCAGCTTCTCTAAGTGCTGATGGATAGCAGCTCTTTAGTTTTATTAAGCCAGAAATAGTAGAAGGAATCAGTAGGATCCTAAAACAACGAATTCATTGTTTGACAGTACAACTGCCAAATCAAATTACAAAATTTTCCTTACCAAAAAAATAATTTAGTTTAGAAGTTTATATAGTTAAAAAGAAGAAAAACTAATACACATCAGGAGAATAGTCATTCAGGAAAGACCCACTAACAGCACTTGCGAGGCTATACATATTCATCATCAATAATTAACAAAATAATAATCATATCTGTACTCATTACCGTACTGTATAACACTATAACTGAATCAATAGAGTATAATTTACAATCTTTGACCAGGAATGCAAAGATCAAATGAAATGCCTAAATAGAACAGAGAAAATCCTTAATAGGAGATTAAGTGCAAGTGAAGCTAAGTTGCTTATGGCATTACAGAAGGAAGATATAAAACGAGAGAAGTCATTAGCCCTTGGCAGATAAAAGAAAGTGGAGCCATAATGAAACTTCTTATTTTGTTGTAGAGTAAATTATTTGTGAAGGAACATAATGTTGTTGAAGAAAAAGGTCATGATCTCCATAGAACTAAAGAGAGGAAATCCATAAGCATGCAGCAGAAAAAAAGAAAGTAGAGCCATGTCAAAACTTCTTAATTTTTGTAAAGTAAATTCTTTGTGAAGGAACAATAGGTGGTGAACAGAAAATGGTCACAATTGCTTCACTGTAGAAGAGAAATTTCAGCATTTTCCTAGGCCCAAAATACACACAACTAATCTCCTTAATAAGAGTGGAGGCAAATCATATAAAGAAACTTCCTCCAAAAAATTTACAGTCCATATTTGGGAGAACAGGCCAGGATTAGCAATGACAAACAATTTTTTACTTTCCCAGTTTAATCATCTACTTTGATTAGCACACATGTTTAAGTGGAGTTATGTAGATGCAAGTCAATATTTTCTGTCAAACATTCTAATGTCACACTCGACATGGCTAACCAATTAGTCATTTTACAAGAAGTTTCTTATAACGTGAAGATGCTACATCAAATTTTTGCACGGAAACAGCTGTAGTTTTTATGGGAAATCCTTCACTTAAATTAATCAAGGGAAAGTGCAATTCTAAATGGAGTGGAATATAACAAATTATACTAGCTCTTCGACAGAAAATCAGAAAGAAGTCATCCTCTTCTATACACAATTATCCTTTCAAGGAAAAAAAATGGTTAAGTATCTGCTATTTACTAGTTGGTAAGAAACATTGCTTTCACAGTCTTCCTTCTGATGTTTTATTCAATTAACATGCACCGGATACCAGTACTTTTCACATTGGATAATTTGCAGCTGAAATAGAGGGCGGTGCTCTCAAGGTTGCAATTGCTTGAAAAATCAACAAGTTCCCATTGTCAAACCACACTTGAGAAGATAATTTATACTACAACAGTAACTAAATATCACCTCAGTTCCAGCAATGCCCATAGCAAGACCTATATCTGCTTCATGAAGGGCAGGAGCATCATTAGTGCCGTCTCCAGTCACTGCAACAACTTCTTGAAAAGTCGTACGTAAATGTTTCACTAGCGTATGTTTATCCATTGGAGAAGAACGTGCCATCACCTAAGCAAATAGATGAAGAAGATATTAATATCTCTCTGGTACCCAATCAGCACAGCAAACAAACAAATGAGATGAGGTAATGCAGTAAGGAAAGTAGGACAATCCACACAAACGACCTCAGATTAAGATAATCAGCTTGCTGTTCATGAACAACGACAACAACAACTGAACCTTTGTCCCAAACAAGTTTGGGTTGACTATATGAATCCTCACTAGCCATGTTTCTCCATCTAACCTCATCTCAGGCCAACATTATATGAAATAATAATAGGGATAAAAATAAATATTAAAGTAAAAAATACTAGAAGTTCATCACTTTTTGTGGGTGAACGTAAAACAAAATATCCTTATTCGACAGGTGAAGTGAAAATGCAATCCAAGATCAACAACTCAAAAATCCGGAAAGAACATATGCATACAACATATCATCACCTTCTATGCATGAACATAAAACAAAATATCTTTATTTGATAGGTGAAGTGAAAATGCAATCCAAGTTCAACAACTTGAAAATGCAATCCCGGAAAGAACATATGCATATAGCAAAGTGAAATCATTATTTCTAAAGGCACCTGTAACTTTGGAATTATTTCTTGCAGCTC